GGCTCTGCTCGAGGCTGGGAGGCATGTAATCCGGATAGAAATCCTAGTAAGACATAGAACCAATGAATGGATGGGTTGGGAGAGACTTCAGAGCTCGTCTCGTTCTACCCCCTTCCCCTGCACCAGGTTGCTCCAAGGCCTGTCCAACCTCTTGGCATCATGTCATCCTGAACTTGAACCGTGTTTCTGGTGGTCTGACGGATATGACAGGATATCTGGCATTCCCAGGGTTTTCCTAAACACCCTTTTGTAAAATTTCTAGGGAGCAGTTCTAAGGAGTCATCTTCATGTCTTAATAACAGCTCGTGGATTCTCAGCTGTGTTTGTGTAAACTCCTAAGACACCCCACGAGGGAAATTTTGGACAACAGAAATCCAGATCTAAATAGGTTAAAGGAATATGCAGTAAGTGGGACACAGCCCTGCATGGAGGAGAGGTGCTGTGCACACATGGAGTCTCGTGCAGGCAGTTGTGCCCAAACTCTAGCACACCTCAGGTGGGTCAGAATTGGGATTAAGGGGAGGCCTTGGTGCTACCTGAGGACATCTCAGTCTGTCAGCAGTTACTGCAGGGCGCATTGCACAAATATTCTCCACTGGTTTATGCTTTTAAGAGAGAAATAGTTTTAATAAACCATGATTTTGGAAAGTGAGTCTTTTACGTGTGATTTGAGAACACCAAATTTAGGAGCTTTGTCACAATCCTCTTTGCTTATGAATCTCTTGTTCTCTAAAGCTCAACAGTGTTTTCCATATGAGGGATGCAATGATTTGTCCCCAGTCACAATTGCTGCCCTCTGGAGTTATTAAGTCAGGTGTGGAATTCTGGTGGTGGGCCCCTGGAACATGAGCAGTGCCTTTGGCACCATGGGAGGGGTTTGGGCAGGGCTGGCTGTCTCTCCTGGTTCTCACATCTTGTTTGTAACAGCAGTATGAAAAATAAGTTTTTTCATGGCTTATTTTAGGAGTGAAACAGAGAAAGTGAGGGCAGCTGCAGTGAGCATGGAGCAGTGTTGTAAACAAAGTCACTTCCAGTCTGAAAATGGCTATTTTTGTGTGTTTTGGCACTATAAAGGTGTTTGCTGGGAGGGTTTGTTTCCTGTGTGAATGCATTTAAAACTCTTCCACTGCCTCCATAAAGCTGCAGGTGATTTGCCTGCTGAATTAGCAGTTCAAAGCTCTGTGCTGCTGAGAAATAA